TATATATAATTTTATATAATTATATACAAAATATTTTTTCCCGTATAAGTTTTAAACAGGTAAATGGATCTAAATAAACTTTTGCATGGATATTTTTATTAGAGTTTAATTAGAGTATAAAAAAATTTGATTTAATTGTTTACTAAAGTTGTAAGTAAGTACTACAAAATTCTATATAAGAATCAAAGCAAACAAAAAAATTAAATAATTTTTAAACCAATAAGAGAATTATGCTCAAATTTTACATAAATACGTAATAATAGAATAATCCATAAATTTTATATGTTTTTGGTAATGCTTTGAGAGAAATGTGAGACTTCCATCCTTAATATTTTAAATAAATTAAAGAGAATTTCTTTGTATTTTTTACGCGATTCTCACAATTATTTGTGTCAATATGTTTCAAATGCAAAGAGGAAAAATTTTTAACTATCAGATTTTATATTTCATTTTGTAATGTTTTCATTTTCTGCGAAGCGCACAAGCGAGAGTTTATGTCTCCTCCCTCGTAAAGAGCAACAATTAATGAAAGACTGTTTCTGTGAGAGGCTAGCGAGATCCGATCCAAAATAATTTTGAAGGATTGCCATTTGATATTAGTACGATTGATGTTCCCGATTTCGTCAGGATAACGCTGGTTTAATGCCAGAGATCCACATCCAATGAATCATTAATAAAGCGAGTGATTTTATAGTTTCTGAAGATCAAAATACGTACCAAGTAGGCAAGAAATGAGTCAAAATACAAAAGTGACGCGGGAAATGCGAGACAGAAGCGAAGAGATGTTAAGAGTTTCCGAGGAGCCTCCATCAGAATGGCATAAGTGTTGTATATTTACATTGGCGTTACAAGCTCACACCTGGACACAAGAATAGCGCTGTTTCTTCTTCTTCTTCTTCTTTCCCGAAGCATTTTCTCGCACCATACGTCGGACTTGTTTGACAAAAGTTATATTTCTATTCTGCTGTATTAATACAGTTATTTCGATAATTTTGCGACTTTTCTACGGGTGACAAACGGTTTTAAAATAACAAGGTGACATTTTATTCTTATCAATAAAATTCCCGAAACCAATAAATCATTATTTATGTGACGATAAAATGGGATTTTATCTATACAGTGATAAATATAAATTTTCTAAAAAACAAATTTTATATATTACTATTTTTCTCATGATTGATGCAATTATTCGACTTATCTCTCTTCCATAATAATATATATTTCAAATAATCTCTGAAGTATTCGAGATGTATCTGTTGTCAATTTCTAAATTAAATTTTTAGAATTTTATACTATAATTTTATATTAAGATGATTTTATATTAAGATCTATAAAAATTTGGAGCTACGTAATATATCCAAATTTTATTTTATTTTTTTTTGAACAAAAAGAGTGTCATCTGAAATCACATCGGAAAGAAGGCTTGCAGGGTGGTTTACACCCGTTGAATAATGCGGATTGTCGTTCATGTTCGACAGCCGAGTGACATAAAGTCGGTATGCGTGCAGATGGTGGTTGGTCTAAAAAAATAAAACAGCCGGAGATGTTTGTGTTTCCACGCGAGATGGGTGATTCTTAAATGACGAAGAACAACTGGAACAACTTATATTTCGAAACAATACTACATGGAATAGGAAGCGATAGAAAATGCTTTCTTTATGGGGAAGAGAGTCTACAACAGATAAAAACGAGAAATTCCGATATATCTGATAAGCGATATGTTGATATCATACATTTATGATTTAACGAGC